CAAGCCCTCCTGGCCACCAAGGTGCACAAGCTAGAAGAAGTAAGGTACTTCTTCGCCGACGAGGCAGCCGTGGACCCGTGGCTTAAAAAGACAGCCCTCGGCGAGGATCACAACATTCAGGCAGCCCGGCTTCGGCGGTGCTGGGCCGCCATCCGCCTCTACTTCAGCCAGTCCGAGGCCGACAGGTCCAAGGTTGCCTTGGCAGACTTGGATTGTATTCTGGGGGAAGGTGAGCTTCGGGATTTGAAGACCAACTTTTGGCGGCGGTACCGCCAACGATACCCCCCGAAGTACACCCTTCCGACGCTACCATCTCTCGCGTTAGCCGGGAAATGGGCAAGCGTATGTTGTGCATCTTTTCGGTGTGGAAGGTTAAGAGTTTGCAACACCAGTTGCTCTCGTCGGTCAAGAAGCGCAAGCTTGCCCCGAACCTTTATACCGAGGACGATGATCCGGACGAGGCGGGACCTCGTGACGCGAATTCCTATTTGGATAGATTGTTCACGCTTTGCCTGGCATGTGCAATGGCAGGCACAATGGCAGTACCTGCCGCCCCGGCGGCTATGGAGGAGGCCAGCCTTGGGGCAGACTCGACCCTGTTTGTGGCTGTTCCGGTGGATGTTGTCATGATGTATTGGTTTCGGGCCAAGCGCACCGCCGCCCTGGTCACAGCAACTCACAGGTTGTCTTGGCTTCAAGCGCGCGACCAGGAGGAGCGCACCGAATGGGTGGCTCGATTCCGGGACTCTCAGAAAACCCTCGGGCAGGTCATTAAAGAGGTCTACGTTGCCCGCGACCCGCATTGGATCCCCGTCTCCTCGAGCACTTCCGTGGGGAGCTCCAGCCAGTTGCAAGCCCCACCTCCCCCTCCGAAAGTCGAGTCTCTCTTCCAGATCTTGGGCACCATTGCGGGGAAGAAGGTGGCGGCACGCATGAAAGACGGCAAGCAGCTTTGTGGCGAATTCCAGCGGGGCAAATGCAACAAGAAGGACTGCACTTCCGGCGCACACCTCTGTGGAGTGGTGATCAGGCATGAGCGCGTGTGTGGGGGCCAGCACACACCGGCCCAGTGCAAGAACAAGGTGAAGCCTCGCCACAACATCGATGAGATTGCGTCGGGGCCACCTTCGTTGTGCCAGCATTTTCACGACCCCTCGGAGTGGGACCCATACTGGGTCGGTGGCGAGTTGCGGTTCCCGAGCCAGGAGGAAGCGCAGGTCACAGCCCCGTTGGCCTTTTTCATCGCAGTTTCGGCGTCTTGGTGGGCCGCCCGGCGAGGTCTGGCGGTGGTTCGGATACACAGGCTGCCACCGGTGGAGATCACCGGTCGGCGGGAGCCCCGAGGCGCTATACGGTCGGTGGCCATGGCACCCTTGGCCATCTCTCTGGGTCTGCGGCCCGGGGCAGATCCCAGCTGCTGACCAGTTGCCAGTGGAAGCCCTGGCTGAGGAGCACGTGGTAGCAGGTTTGCTGCCGGATGGTTGCGTTTACGTGGGTCAAGGCAACTACCAGCACAGACTCCCCACCTCGAAGTGGCGTAACCCTTGGGTAGCTGGGCTTACTTGCGACCCGGGCCAGGCCTTGACACGCTGCGCCGACTTCGTCGCGGCCGAGTTGTGGCACGATCTCGGGGAGCTGGCGGGCCTGACCCTCCTCTCCGACACCGCCATGGAGGTTCCGTGCGAGGCAGATGTGTTGGCAGGGCTCCTTTTTCTTATTGGCGGGGACGGTCGGCCTCCTCATCCCAAGGCGTCTGGTCTTTGGTTGCCAAGCACGGCGAAGATCCGAGCTGCATGGGCCCCAGGCGATTGGGCAGGCGGTACCTGTCCCTTTCCAGCAAGAGGCGGTTATCCTGCGGTTCCGGAAGCTGTGGTTCCAGGGATTCCGGTTCCCCATGGTCGAGGACCTTCTCAACCAGGCCCCCTTTGACACGTTTTGCAGATGGCTCGCACCACGGAGTGACGAGTGGGAGGGACCCCTCGTTCCCGTTGCCCCCCAACGACAGCAACGCTTTCGACAGCGCACCGCCGATGGGTTGCAAATCGGGGCCTCCACGCATCGGGCTGCCTTGCCCCCTCTTTCGCCATTCGGCCTCCAATTGCTGCCGACAGAGCTGCATCCTGTGCTCGACCCCGACCTTCTGTTTGCGGCGGAGGTGAACGCCAAGCGCAGGGGTGCCCTGCGACCCATGCGCCAGCGCGCGGTGGGGGCCCTCAAAGAACTGAAGCGACGATGGGGGCCAGTTGGCGCGCGGTTGCGTGCCCGGCAGCCACAGGCACTGCGGCGAGCCACCCAGCAGCGGGACCTCGGCTTCGAAGCGTTGATCATCCTGGCCAGTTGGGGAGACGTGACCTATGCGCATGGGCTGGTCAAGGGTCTTCCGGCGGTTGGGTTCGCACCGCCCTATGGGGTTTCCCTGTCCAGGAAGCTGCGCCGATCGGTCTCGAGGAGGTTTTGGGGGATTGGCAGAAGCACAATGCCGAGACAATCCGGCGGTTGAGGCCGGGCCGCTTGGACCAGGTGCTGCTCGAACAATCGTTGGCGGATGCGGCCCAGGGCTTCTGTTCCGAGCCGTTATCCCAAGCAGGCGTTCAGAGGCTCTTGAAAGGTCAACCGTTCAGAGTGATACCCCGCTGCGTCATTACGCAAGGGTCAGGAAAGCACCGAATCGGCTGAAGGCGGTCAGTCGGCGACTTCAGCGGATTCAAACAAGCCTGTGCTTTGTTCACCGCTCCGGCCGGCCCGGCACCTCCGAGCCACCATCAGCTACATGTCCGAGGCAGACTTCGCGGCGGCCAGAGCCGAGGACTCCTGGCAGACAGGAGGCGAAGATTGGCCGAACGCGTATCGCCACTCGCCAATGTCCTCAGAGGAATCCCGAGCCTGTGTGGTTTGCTTCTGGCACGACGAGTGGCAACAGCCGGCATTCCAGGTGTACGCCGGCCTGCTGTTCGGACTCCCTTTGGCGGTGACCTCGTTCAACCGCTACTCTCGTCTGGTTGAGGCCCTTGGGCGCCGCCTCGTGCTGACGATGGTTTCCCTCTACTTCGACGACGCCACAGTGGGAGACTGGGCCTCTTCGAAGGGTTCGGGTCAGTGGGCGTTCGGGCAGCTCAACGCGCTGTTGGGTACCCCCTTCGCCGAATCCAAACGGCAACCCATGTCGCATCGCGGGGATTTCCTGGGCCTCTCGCACGATATGTCCCGTGCTCTCTCCGATGGTGTCGTGCACTTTTGGCCGCGCGATAGGATCGTGCAGAAGGTCACCTCCATGCTCACCGACGCTGAGTCGAGTTCGTGCCTACACCCAGGTCAAGCCGCCAAGCTCTACGCCATCCTTATAACTTCTTCGAGCAAGGAGTGTATGGGAAAGTCGGGGCAGGGAGCCTCTGGGCCATTAAAGAACGGCAGTACGAAGCGGCCACGCAGATCACTCCCGATATCCTTGGCAACTTCAGGTACATCCGAGCTATCATTCGAGCCAAGCCTCAAAGGCAGTTACCGGTGGTGCCGTTGCCATGCGACCGTTTCGTGTGTGCCTCGGACGCAGCCGAGGAGCCAGACACCGGCGGTACCGGTGGCTTCCTCGTGGTCTGGTTCAGTGGGGCGCACCAGACCCGCCAGGGCTTTGTAGCCGATATCCACCCTTGGTGGTATTCGGTTTGGCAGTCAGCCGAGGTACACATCGCACAGTTGGAAGTCTCCATGGTGGCGTACGCGTTGCTAGGGCTACCGGATCGTTTTCGGAATCGCCGCGGCATCTGGTTCCTTGACAACGTGGCCTCGTTGATGGCCCTCGTGAAAGGACGATCTTCTTCAAGAGACCTGGAGAATTTTGCTCACATGGTGCATATGTTGTTGCTTGGCCTCAACACACAGATGTGGTTCGAGTACATTCCGTCTAAGTCGAATTGGGCTGATGCCATTTCCAGACTAGGGCGGGACGATCCCTGGCATGTCAGCCAGTCTTTTTCAACTTCGGTGATCCGCTTCCCACGGGTAGTGTGGGGGCTTCCGCCATCCGCTTTGCTCACACTGGCGAGCTTTCTCTAATGCTTTGGGATCAGTGCCTTGGGTACTCATGCCCGAGAATCGGGC